GAAGGAGGATCCAGGGAGCCACACACGTCAGTCTGATCGCAGTGCCAGAGAAGGTTACAGAGCAGATCACCTTGTGTGCCATCACACAGCACATACAGGGCAACCAGGAAATCAGGCCCAGTTAGCATGGGTTTGTGAAAGGCAGGTCTTGCTTGACTAACCTGATCTCCTTCTATTACAAGGTGACTCACTTAGTGGATGAGGGAAAACCTGTGGATATTTACCTGGACTACTAAAGCCTTTGATACTGTTTCCCACACCATTCTCCTGGAGAAACTGGCTGTTAATGGCTTGGACAGGTGTAGATTTTGCTGGGTAAAAAACTGCCTGGAGAGCCAGGTCCAGAGAATGGTTGGTGAAAGGAATTACATCCAGCTAGAAGTGGTGTTCTCCAGGGCTCAGTGCTGGGGCCAGGACTGTTTAATGTCTTTATCAGTGATCTGGACAAGGGAATTGAGTGAACCCTCAGTCAGTTCATAGATGACACCAAGTTGGGCGGGAGTGTTGATCTGCTGGAGGGTATACAGAGTGACCGGTACAGGCTGGATAAATGCACTAAGACCAGTGGTAAGAGGTTCAACACGATCAAGTGCCACATCCTGCACTTCAGCCACAACCCCATGCTGGGGAAAGAGTGCACTTCCCCCACAACTACAGACTGGGGAAAGAGTGGCTGGAAAGTGGCCTGATAGAAAAGGACCTGGGGGTGTTGGTCAACAGCCAGCTGAACATGAGCCAGCCGTGTGCCCAGCTGGACAAGAAGGCCAAAGGCACCCTGCCTTGTACCAGCAATAACTTGGCCAGCAGGGCAAGGTCACTGATTGTCCCGCTGTAGTCCGCACTGGTGAGGCAGCACCTCGAATCCTGTTTGGTTCTGTGCCTGTCACTACAAGAAAGACACTGAAGTACTGGAGCATGTCTGGGGTAGGACAATGAGTCTGGTGAAGGATCTGGAGTACATGTCTTACGAGGAGCAGTTGAGGGAGTTGGGGGGTTTTAGCCTGGAGAAAATGAGGAATGAGGGAACCATATTGCTTTCTTTAACTACATATAAATCCCCAAAACGAGGTTGTAGTGAGGTTCTCTAGACAACAAGCAATAACAAAAGCGGAAATGGCCTTAAATTGTGCCAGGGGAGGTTTCCTTCACTGAAAGGGTGGTGGTATTGGAACAATCTGCCCAGGAAAGCGGTTGATCCACAATCCCTGGACGTATTTAAAAGACATGTAGATGTGGAACTTAAGGACATGGTTTGGTGTTGGACTTGGCAGTGCTGGGTTCATGATTAAAGGTCTTTTCCAACCTTAATGATTCTAGGATTCTACACGGAGTTTTGCCATTATCCAAGTAAAAGTGCCTGAAAACAGTAAGGTTTGTAAAACAAAGAATCATCACCAAATTGTACCTTGACTGAAAATCAACCTCTTATTAAACAGAATTAGTTGCCATTGGTTGATCACATATTTTATGCAATAGGATCTACGAGGGTTCACTGTTTACCCAGTGGGTGGCACTCCATTTAGTAGTCAGACAAGTTAGGGAGTCAATGTACCAGTCAAAAATTACAGTAGTCCTCTTTCATTCAGAAAGCTGACTGCTACTGCCAGCTTGCATCATATTTGCAGAACAAGACAAATTTTAACAGAAGAAAGAAGGAGATTTATTTCAACAAAAAATAAAACAAGACAAACAAAAACAAAAGCATACTGAAGATGAGCAAATTCACTATCATTCATGTATTTTATGCCCTTCTCCTGCTTTCCCATTCCTAGATGTCCTGGTCCCAGAACATGGCCCTTAATCTGAAAAAGCTACAAAAACCTCACTTTATTTCAGAACTCCCAGCATTTGAAGACTAGTAAAAATGAAGACACAAAGTTATAATGATACTCTGAGATAAACCAGTAGACAAGTCAGTATGGAAAATTAACAGTGAGACGAGGTTACAGTTCCCACAGATGGACCTTCTGTGAATTATAGACAACAGTCTTCCTCCAAGTTTGCAAATACTGAACCCCAGGCAAAAATTTCCCTTCAGCAGTTTTCCTCACCACCACCTTCTTAATCACCTCTGCAAACAAAGGTTCAAATGAAGGTCATTTGAGGTATTGGCAACCACTTACAAAACAGAGGCTACCACTATCTTCCCTCGACAGATGCAAGCCCTGCTGGGAAAGAAGCCCAAAGTTGTAGTGCCTGTTGGTCCCTCAGTGCAGCATCATTTTTTTGACTCACTGCGTTTTCATTTCCTCTGGCTCACAGTCATAGAAACAAGCCAAGTTACCCTTAGGAAGGCTACACTTGCTGGGGAGTGTTGCAGGCTCCATCATGGTGCTAGTTTTGGCCAGGGCCCACCATTGTACAGGTCCACTTCCTAACCAGCTAGATGTCTCTCCTTCCACTAACATTTTGCTCTTTTCTCTCCTACAGCTTTAGCAGTGCCCTATTTGGGGCCAAAAGTGAGAAATTGTTCTGAAGGAAAATGCCCAGAGCTGCCCCTGCACGTGAATGGTCAGTGATCATAGGGCTATTTAGCTTTTTATGGAACACAGAGACTGGCAATTATCATATCCAACCCACTGTTTCAGCAATACCTAAATTAGTACCTAGATTAGGAGGGAAATATACCTAAATCCTGAGCCAAACAGTGGTTCTGACTCCCAGCTAACACAACTCCATGTTTATAACAAAAAATGCCAAGAAGAGGACAATGCTGAAGCTCATTCCCTGTAAATTTTATCATACAGTAGCAGCCATAAAGCATGGTATTCTTCTTAGCAACCTTGGCTGAATTTAGGGAGGTAAATTAAAGATGAAATGCTTTGTTTTTCAATCAAAAGCCCAATCTATTCTGAAGCAATGTATTTTGAATAATAAGTTGAAATTCAGATTCCCCCTTTTTTGAAGGCATTGTGACTAGGCTGTCCTGTGGTGCCGTAATACTCTGTAAACATATTTATCAATATTCTGTTTCCTCTCCATTACCACCTCTTCTTTACTCTTGGGACTAAAGGATCTTTCCCTGACATTTTAAAGCATTAAAACAGCTCGAGGGGTAAAGAAAACATTTTTCATGTAATCTTTGAAAAGTTTAGTTGTCAAGGAGACCAAGACCTTAGCAACCAGGTATGGAGGCCTATTCAGCACACTAACATGCTTGTGAAAGAAGGTGCAAGGATGCCAGTACACCTGGAGGCAAACATGCCTAGTGTTTCAAGAGTGCCTTGCTTCCTTTTATTACACAACTAAACAGTGACTCAGATTTTTTTCTTTTTGCATAGTATCATCTAGTGAGCAAAAACATGGTTAAAGGACCATACTTGGATGATATATTGCCTTAATAAATCACTGAATTGAGGTATGCTCTGGAAATGTCATTCACAGACTGACACTTTCCAAGGAAGAACAGGTCCAAGATCATATTTGATATAATTGCAGAATAAATGGCAGTCAACAAGTAACAAATTGGAAAGGTGCTTTCCCAACTCCAGGCAGAAGGGACACTATGAAATGAGTCTCTCTCTGATATTACTTCTGTTACCAGGATAGGGGCATGTCACACAATGCCCAGGCTAAGATAGAGAAAGACAGATGCTTGGCATTTTCAATTTGTACAAAAGTAAAGTTTTAAGTTTGTCCATAGTCTGTTTGCTAGCACTGGGACCTAGAGAAATGGATAGCCATTCATAGGTGACAATGCTTCCATAAGATTAACCACTAAACCAAAATATTTGTAAATTATAAAAGTATATGAAAGCAGAAGCATTTGAAGTCTGAAAGAGCCATGAATTCACCTCAAATACACTTAACATTGAATGAAATATAATAAATAGCAAATATAATTAAAAAGTATTTTGTCATAAAATGCATTGCTAAACATGTGCAAGGCACACTGATATCAACCTCAGGAATCCCTAGACATCAGTGTCAGAACCAGAGTTAGGGAACATCTTTGTCAATGATCTGGAGAATGCAGTGTGTGGATAGTACCAAGGCCTTTTTCAGATAGTCAAATGCCACACTGTGACACATAAGGAACTTCAAAAGCCAACCGAGTGAGTGTGCACAACACTCAGGGGCAAGCTGAGCTAAGTTTGCAACACCGGTGTAGTGGGTTTCTGTGGCTGGGTTTTGGTAGCAGGGGGGCTACAGGGGTGGCTTCTGTTAGAAGCTGCTGGAACCTTCCTCTGCCCAGTGGAGTCAATGCCAGCCAGCTCCAGGATGGGCTTCCTGCTGCTGACCAAGGCCAAGTCAATCAGGAGCGGCAGTAACACCTCTAACATACTTAAGAACAGAAGGTTGTGGTGCAGAAGGAATTCCAGCCACAATCTGGAGTAGGTTTTTCCTGGGTAGGACTTGTGACCCCTGTGGGGGACCCATGTCAGTACAGTTTATTCATGAAGGATTGCACCCAATGAAGGAGTGACCCATGGGACAGCAGTCTGGGAAGAACTGCCGCCTGAGGAATGGACTCACATTGGAGAGGTCCATCAAGGACTGTCTCCTATGGGAGGGACCCCACGGGAGCAGGGGAAAGATTCTTCTCCTTGCGCAGCGGCAGAAAGAACAACTGACCATAACCCCCATTTCCTGTCCCTCTGCATCACTGTGGGGGAGGAGGGAGAACATGGAAGGAAGGAGGGGTGGGGGAAGGTGTTTTTAAGGCTGTTATCTCAACTCATGAATCCTTACCTGGTTTTTCTTCTCTTCTCTGTCCAGTTGCAGAGGGAGAGTGAGAGAGTGGCTTTAGTGGGTACCTGACATCCAGCCAGGGTCAACCTGCTACAACCAGTCATAAAATGTTGGGTGTCATTAGGAAAGACAGTCACAACAAAACAAAGAAAATCATTTTGCCACTAGGGACATCTTGCTCCACCCATATTTTAAGTACGTTTGCAGTTTTGGTCTGTGCATCTTAAGACAGAACAGAGCAGTAGACAGACTAGAATTAGAAAAAAAGACACAGAGAGCCACAAAAGTGATAGAGGGGTGTACCAATAAATTTACAAAGAACAAAGAGAATAAGGAATCTATACATGGTAGAAAAATTACAAACTAATAAACACCATACTGCCATGGGCTATTTGACATACAGGTTTTTTTGTTTCTTGCTTACTTAATGCATTTCTTCTTAGGAAGTCCAAATGTGTTTTCCAGTATCTTGGCCCATTGTTCAGGGATCTAGGTTTAAGTGCAATTCAAAGATGAAAAAGTTACAAACTGCAGGAATTTGCTACTCTGGATGGGTGCTAATAAAATGCCTACCTTGCAACAAATTCTTGTTTGAATAAAATCTCTCTTCTACGTACGCCACAGTCTTGCAACCATCATGCTTGTCACATCATGCCCAACATCAGTGGTCTGGAATAAATATAAGGAAAACTTTGAGAAAGCAAAGAAAACAACCACCAACACTGATGCACGTGTCATTAAAACAGACATTACCAGGAAGAGAAAAGGCTTACAGTAAGTTTAACTCATGGTAAAATAAAGAGAGAACAGTTGCTTCTAATGGGAGGAAAGAGCATTTCTAAGCTGAAAAGATTTTTAGGGTTACGAAGTACGTTGAAAAACCACAGTCTGAATTATCAGTCTTCTGATCAGTTCCACTCCTCTAATGCTTCCTAGTTATTTAGCATTTGTACACCAATAACCTACATCTCAGCTTTCCAAGAGGCAGTTCTCACATTACAGATATGAAGTAATGGCAGATAACAGACTTGTCCACATTCTGTTTAAAAATCCCATTTTCCAAAGCATTGAGTTAGCTTGCAATTGTTTTGATTTTCCTTTTATTTCAAGTACTTTTAACTACTGCCTTTCATTCACAGTTTTAGGGGATCAGCTAAAGCAGGTTTAGCTCCATGAACTGTTTTGTGGGACAACTTTTCCCAAGGAAGAGGTGGTTGAATCTTGATTTTTGTTGTTGTTGTTTCTTACACATTTGATAACTGGTTTTCACATCAGCACTGAGAGGGGAAGGACAAAACAAGCTTAAAAGATGGTAGAGAACTATTTTCCACAACAATTGCATTACATCTTTGTTAAATAACATAGAAGTTGATCAAGCCAAGCTCAGTAGCTCTGTGTGGTCAGTCAAAGAATTTCCCAGTGAAAATTCCAGGTTTGTTTTTGGTTTTTTTTTTTAATTCTTATGAACTCGTGCTTCTTGCAGCTCCACCAGTGTGTTTAGCAAGTGCATTTTACTCAAAAAAGGAGCAAACTCACAAGTTTCAACAATTTCCTTTAAAAATCTCACACACAACCTATTTTTATGAATAGTTGACGCTTTCATGCAATGTCCTCTCTCTCTCACCTACTGTCCAGTGAGCTGTCCAGCAGAGATCACTTTGTCTAATACCCTCATTTTGCATTGAAATAAGTATGCTTTTTAAAAAAAAATTACATTTATGGTTTTTATACTAGTTCATCATTATTTTATCATAGCAGCAAAAAAAGAGAAAAAAGCCAGTTAACATTTAAAGTTCTGGGTTAAGGAGAAAGCCTACGAAATGCACACAAACAGAGCCACTTTTTTCCTTACTGAGTTGACATGACCTTGAGTAGCACATGAGTAGCAGTGAAGAAGGACAGGGCATATACAGCTTTTTCACAATAAAGAATAGGACCCTACTATAGTTGACAATCCCAATCTTCTCACAAGGATAAAAAATGACATTTCAATCCCATCTCAATTTAATTTTCCTCTCCATTTGGAGGACTAAATGTGATATTGTTTTTTGATCTTTACTAATTATTCTCCTTTTTTTCCTAACCCCAAATCAATTGAAGCATCATAGCAGTTTTCAAATTAATTATTAGATTTTTTCCCCTGACTCATTTCAGACACTTTTATTAGAAAAGTGATTGATATATTAACACCATTAATTACTTATTTGACCCATTAATTTTGTCTATTTGCACAAACCTAATTGAAACAGCCTACACTGATTCTAGGATCTCATTTTACCAATCAAAAATTAATTTTTGGATACTCTTGACTGCTGAATCTGTGTGACGGTAAAAAACACTGTTCCCACCTCACACATCTGTTTAATATTCCCACTCCTCTTTCTCAGTCCCGAAAAGACCTTCAGACTCTGCCCCTGAAAGATTCCTACGAGCTTCGTTCTCTTCCCTCAATAAACAAGACTATCTCAATAGGCCTCCATAAACGACAGTTCCTGTTCATTTGACATAATTTGCCTTTCCACTATCAAGCTAAATTTCTTCAATAGACTCTTAATTATTCTAAACCCATTATCTAATGCTATTATAAATGTTTAAATAATACTTGATATAGTTCTGGTCCCACTGAAGTTAATGGGAATATTGCTGTTGCCTTAATTAAGATCAAGATAAAATTTATATTGTTTAATTTGTCACATATTACTGTTGGGTGAAAACAACCTAGTTAGTATTCAGAGGTACTAAACAGACCCAGCTCCCAGACTAGAACTGGCAAGGCCTCAACACTTCTCAGAAGAAGTCTGGGAGCCTGTGCTGCACAGTGGGCGAGTAGAGAAGGGAGCAGTCACAGGGTCGTGCACTCTGCTGCGTATCGGCAGCCCCAGAAGGCTTCCCACGCTCCGGGATGCTCACAGCCTTTAAATGGAGCACTTGAGTCAGGATTCGTCAAAAGGACAGGAAAAGCAGAGAAGTGAGAAAACGGAGAAAAGCCTTCCCCGATGTGAGAACAAACCAGAGACATTTTCCAAATTATTTGATCAAAAATCTGGACAATTTTAAGTGAAGCATTTTAAAAAATCTTTGGCAAAAGATACTGTGCACATTGATCAGATCTAGTTCAAAAAGAAGTACATCTTTTAAAACAGAAACTAAATATTACCAATATGAAGATTTTCTTTTTTTTGGCTGGTGACCATTTAGTTTTCATTAAAATTTAGAAAATAAATTGCAAGCTTTTTTCAGACTACCAGCAAAGCCATGGTTATTCTTATACTGTGCATAAAGAGACTAAGTTTTTAGAAAAAAACTAACAGATAAACTAGAATTTTGATTTACTTACACTTTTTAATGTTTCCTACAGTCTAATATTATATTCTGTTCTCTCATACAATACTAACTTTAGAAGAAAAAAACTAAGAAGCAGATTAATTTCTGACATCTTTGTTATGTTCACGGCCAACATGTGATCACACCTACATTATAAAATCTCACAGTGCATTACTTCCAGACTTCCATGAAGGTGCCTCCCCAGAGGGTCTGGCTTACCAGACTGACATGTTCCAGAGAGACATCTGAAATTCCTGCTGAGATCTCGGTTCTGTTCCTCTCACTGGGAAAGTCCCCCAGACTCTTCCACATTTCTTTACAGATGTATTCATCTCAGAAGGCTGCTGCCTTCTAGGACTATAATCAATAAAGGCTGCCGAGGAGCTGCTTCACCTCCTGTTTTGGGAAGTGAAAAAGAAAAGCATCATGTAACACATAACTGCTGCTTCAGAAGGCAGAGGGGCACAGCAGGCTATTGAAAGGAACAACAGCCCCAACAGTCCAAAGAGATGGGCATTTATGCCCAACTCCTCTCCATTTGTAACCTATTTCTAACCCTTTCATGTCCTACCAGCCTCAAAGAAAGATGAGCCTCAGCTTCTTCCCAGTAGCCAAGTGGAGAGCTTATTGAAACACTGAAGGCAAGGCCCCTTATCACTGCAGCATGTCTGGATATGGTGAGCACAGCAGCAAATTCTGAAATGCAGGAAGAAAGGTCATAGGTGATTTAATTTTAAACTATATATGCAAACAGAAAGGGCAGAATTCCCTAGTGGGCTCATTTGCTGGGATTTCAACATGTATCTAGAACTACTAGGTTGGAGCCCTGAAAATTACTTTCTGGCTATCAGAGCTGAGAATCCTAACAAAATCCTTAAGTACTCTTGATTTTACTTTTTTTAAATTAAGATTCTGATTTATCTAGTCCGTCACCTCCTCAGAAGTCTTCACACCTTGTCTTGCTCTCTCTTTCTAGACTGCTGGAAGCATCTTGCCAGTGAACAGTATCTGTTCAGTGAATTCAGAAATAAGGTTGCTTTGTCACAGACCTGAGACATATGACATCCTATAGCTGGAGGCATTAAGAGGCTGCTTTCTGTCTTCTTTTCATGGATTCAGAGTATGTGAATCACATGGATTCACAGTATTCACAATGTAAAGAAAAGCATCTAGAATCCTACCCTGAATCTCTGAGGAACTTGCTTGGAAGCTGTCCAAGAGCTCCTAAATGATAAGACTGTCTTTTTCTGCCCCTTATTCAAGACAAATGCAAAATGTCTTTAAGTGGGTCTCTAGAAATAGATTTCAGTATTTCAGTATTTCAGACCAACAGCAGATTTCTGAATTATTAGTAGGATCTTGTAGTCTTAACTTCCTGCATGACCCCAGAGATAGAATTCAGGCCCTCACTTCACATTTGAGTTCCCATTTGTGGTTTTGTTTTTGGTTTTGTTTTTTTTTTTTTAACTGGGAGAGTTCCGCCACACTGATTTGGCCCATGACATTCTATTCCACTGTAAGGTATACTCAGTAATTAACCCTTCCTGCCCAAATCAACCTACCCATTACAGTTGCTTATGTTGGTCCTAAACATAAGTGTAAAAAACAAATCCATGAGGAGTCTATGTCCCTTTGCGAGACAACTGTGGTCTTTGACAGTAACCAATGACAATGCTATGTTTTCATTATCTTCCTATTCTTATGGTTCTATAACGTTTCTCTATCATGGTATTTATTTGCATCAGAAGAGAATAGCAAATACATACTGCAAAGTGCCTACTACAAAGTAGTACTTGTATATAAAAGCAATTTCAGGCATTTATAATACTGACTGTAGGTCATCAAATATATTCCCTGCTGTGAAAGATCATCTTTGTTGTTCTTATGCTCTTCTTCTACTTGTTTCATCTTCCACAAAGAGAAATACCCTTATCTGTGCATACCCACTCTAACACAAACTGTAATCTTCAGCTTTTATCTGTATTGTTCTTGGGGAAAAATACATCATTCCATATGAGCAGAGACAAATCTGAGTAAAATACATTGCACATTCATTAATTTACAACAGTACAGCTCTTAAGAATGTTTTGGGCAAGTTTCAAATCTCTACATTGTTTGTCAGAGCCACAAACAGTGTATGGTGTTGCAAGAAGTTTGATATGGAACAGGGGTTTAATTTACTTCTTTAAAAAGAAGCACATAAACAGGTGTGTTCTTATTGTTGTCAATTTTCTGTCATGACACTTTAAGAAAAGCTCTGAGTAAAGCAAGACCAGACTAAAAGATAGCACTGCTTAGGCTCTTCAGCTGCAAATGAGCATCCACAAAGCTCACATGCCTTGAAGCTACAAAAGATTATCCTTTATTCTTCATCTCTCTCTGCCCTTTGGAAATGCTAACCTACTGTATACAAAAACTGTGCATATCCTGCCTGGTGAAAACCATCACCAAACACCTCCAAACAGTTTTCTTCTGTGTTAATTTGCTTCTTGGCGGTAGCTATTTTTAAATGCTATTGCATTACACTTCCACAGTTGTACTCATATGTAGGATCAGATTTTGCATTCAAATATTCAGCTCAAGAAAAAAAGAGATCAAAAAATGCATCTGTTCTATGCATATTGATCTCAACTGCTACTTCCCGACTCTTAAACTGAGAGTTAACCCATCTCTCAATGATGTTAACTCAGGTTGCTATAAGTTCAGTTGTTGTCATCAGCCCAAATAGACAGCTGGGTGTCTTGGGATGGAGGGATGTGCTGGCCATGAGCAGAGCTGCAGCAATTCTCAGCACCAAGCAAGACTAGAACTAGTGGGAACCTTCAATCTTGGCTTTGCTGGCTTAACACCATTACACTACAGCCATTGACTGGGCTGCATGACAAAAATTTTATTTACTATTTTACTATTTAAAGGAAACAAGGATGCAAAGCCAAAACCAAGAACACAGGAAGTTCTGCATCCTAAAGCTGCAATTCTGTTTATAAAGAAAAATGCACTTTTAAAAATCCTCATGTTTTTGCAGGATGTTGATGGGATTGCTGTTGAGCTCTTTTCAGAATTATTCAAATTGTGGATTTTGAATATTTTTCCAGTCTGGATGTAAAGTCTTTATTTGGGTGTCTATCACACAGAAACACAGTTTACAGTACACACTTTTAAAAGTGTAGGTGTTTGAGAATGGGCAGGTCGAAGGGAGGATTGGAGATTTTTTGATAGATCTGTAAAAATCAACTTTTCATTGGGCATCTACCTGTTCACAATTTCTCTGAACTTTCAAAAACTTTTCCAAACTTTTCTTACCTTTTTTGTTAAACCTTAAGACAAATAAAATCATAGCAGATTATAAACAAACCAATAAGTTTGTAAAGTGATTGCATTATTAATAAAAGAAGCATCACCTTTGTGGCTGTTTGTCTAATTACAACACATGTCCTATAAATAATGGAAAGAAGGACATCTCCTGACCTCAAACAAATAGTTTTCTTTCTAACTTAGGGAGATTACTGAGAGACAGGGAGCTACATGCACAGTTTACTCACATGAGTTTACCCTGGGTGATTAATCAATGCCACGGAAAGGTACTAATCCAAGTGGGCTTCCTGTGCTGTAGAAATCCATCACATCTTCCTTTCCTAAAATGCCCAAAGAGATGGTGAAAGAGGAGGGAAGGGAGCCAAAACTGACATCGGAGAGAAGAGTACAAAGTAGACAGGAGCTTACACAATTGTAAAAGCAGGTTGGAGAGGAGACTGCCTGGACCTACTTCACACATTCAGTTTACCTACATGTATGTATGAAGTCTAACACAGTTTAACAAAGCCAAGTGCAAAGTCCTACACCTGGCTTGGGGCAGTCTCAGGCACACCCCCAGTTTGGGCAGAATAGTGATTGAGAGCAGCCCTGTGGAGAAGGACTTGGTTGATGGTTGATGAAAAACTCAACATGAGCCAGCAGTGTGCTCATGCAGCCCAGAAAGCCAACAGAATCCTGGGCTGCATCAAAAGAGGTGTGGTCAGCAAGTTGAGGGAGCTGATTGTCTCCTTCTACTATGTTCTCATGAGTCCCCACCTGAAATAATGTGTACAGTTCTGACACCCAACACACGAAAGACATGGAACTCTTGGAGGAAGTCCAGAGGAGGGCTACAAAATTGGTAAAGGGGACTAGACCATCTCACCTATAGAAACAGGCTCAGAAAGCAGGGACTGTTCAGTCTGGAGAAGAGAAGGTTGCATGGAGACCTCACAGCAGCCTTTCAGTATCTGAAGGGGACCTACAAAGAAGCTGGAGAGGGGCTCATCATCAGGAAGTGTAGTGATACAACAAGGAGTAATGGGTTCAAAACTGAAAGAGGGGAAATTTAGGTTGGACATAGGGAAGAAATTCTTTACTGTGAGGGCAGTGAGACACTGGAATAGTTTGCCCAGGAAAGTTGTGGATTACCCATCCCTTGAAGAGTTCAAGGCCAGGTTGGATGGGATACTGAGCAATCTGGTCTAGTGAGAAGTGCCCCTGGCCCTGGCAGAGGGGTTGGAACAAGATGATCTTTAAGGTCCTTTCCCACCCAAATCATTCTACGATTCTACACAGGAGATAACACACTGCAGGCATAGCCACCCTGGCATATCCCAAACACGCCCAGCTTACTGTGCACACAAAGGCTGATCAATGGGTCGGTTCATCACATCTGCTCTTTGTAATCTATGCAAAGATGTAGCTACTTTTCTGTGAACCTATAAGCTGAACTAAACCCTAGCAAAGAGGGAAAGATCCCCACCTAGGGCATCAGGCAGTAGGTAATCACAGAAGGACAGTAGTCAACACTGGTGGGGTTGATAGACCTGAATTCCTAGCTGGATATTTGAAGAAGCACTGTTTCAGCCATTGCTCGAGTTATTATGCGACGTTACTGAAACTAGAAATAGGTAGGTTAAGCCTATGCTTAATCATACAAGGTGCTGAGCAATCTAGTCTTAAATAAGATATGACTCAAACATTTTAGTGGCCTGTGTCTCTTTGTCTAAAAGGATTAAACCTTTCCTTAACACCACAGCTAAACATGTTCACAAAAGGCAAAGTTCACAGCAAGAGTTCTTTAATTAGAGAGCATATTAGCAAATAAGGCAAGCTTTTAATTGCAATTTCACAAACATCTAATAATATAAAGAGAGTATTACATACCAAATAATAGTGCTGCCATGATACTATTAATCATTATGTTCTTTTTTTTTTTTTTTTTTAAAGAGCAGCAATCAGTCTCAGATTAGTTATCTTGGTATCATAGAGATGGTAACTCATTCAATTCATGTCCTTATTTCATGGCTATGGAAGCACATCCATTTTACTAGAAAAGTGAAACATTAAATTCTCCCAGTATTTTCTTCTTCTTTTTAAGCATACAATGGACTAAATTCTGACCTTAGTTACATCCATATAACTTCAGAATTGTATGGTTGAAACTAACAACAAAATAGGACCGACTTTGTGAGCCTATTTCTGCATACATTTAATTGAGCTAACCAAGCAGGACAAGGTTTTGTGTACAAAGGACTTTTCCATTGTTTTTATTGTAAAAACACTTTTTTCCCCCATCTCTGCCTCACTCTTTAAAAAAAAAAATAAAAAGAAAAAGAAAA